GTTTTCACTGAACGTTAGAATTCTAGATTATTTCTGAGGTTTTTATAGCAGCTGAAAAATGTGCACCTTCCGTCTAGCCTCCATAGTTTCTGATAAGAAATATGATGTCATTTACAATGCTTTTCCCCTCTAGGTAAGGTGCTTCTTGCTGAATTTAAGATTTCTTCTTTGTCATTAGTTTTGAGAAGCCTGACAAGTGTAGCCTGGTGTAGATATCTTTGGGTTTATTCTTTTTTGAGGCTCACTAAACTTGTAGATTTGTGTCTCATGCTTTTTGCCAAATTTGTGGCATTTTTAGCCATCATTTCTTCCCACTCCCTTTTCTCCTTCAGCAATGTCAATGACAGAATATTAGCACTTTCTTGTTGTACAGGTCCTTGAAGCAGTGTCATTTTTTTCCCCAACCACTTTCTCTCTCTTGTTTAGATGGGGTAATTTCTATTATTCTGTCTTCAAGTTCTGTGCTTTTTTTTAATCCTCTGCATTGTTCATTCTGCTGCTGAGACTGTCCCTGCCAGACAACCCTAGTATCTGTGTCCTCTCAGTGTTGGTATCTGTTTATTGTCTTTTCTCATTCCTAATTCTCATTCTGAGTCACTTTCTCTTCATAACTGGACATTCTGCATATTATCTTACAATATTCTGAATCTTATTTAAATCCTGTTCTGGAAGGTCTCTTCTGGTAGAACTAAGGGGGTGCTGTCTCGTTTCCACCAGGTGGAGCTAGAAGTTCAGGTTTTCTACTCAGCCTCCATTAACACCTGAGGTGGGGAAGGGGCAGCAGATCCTCATTACTGCCAGGTGGAAGCAGGAGTTCTGGCACCCCCTGATGTCTCCATATCATGGCTGGGGAGAATGAGGGGGAAACTTACTAATGCTCCTTACATGGTCTCAACAGACACTGCATTGTGAAAAGGGGCTTGCTATTTCAGTGGTAAAAGTTCTGACTCCTTCCTATGTCTCTTCCGACACCAGCCATGAAGGCGGGGGAGAGGAGCCCCGTTACTGGCAGGTGGAACTGGAAGACTCCCTTCATGGCCTCTGCTACACTGTCTGGTGAGAGGGGAGAGGTCTGCTACTAACCCAAGGAAATGACAATTCCTTTACCGGGCCTTCTCTAACATCACTCTGATTAAAGGTGAGGTGTTACAGCATGGCAGGGGAGAAAATCTAGGTGTCCCACTTAGTCTTTGCTGCTGCCAAGTGGGCTACATTTTTCCTTCATTGGTCCTTAGTCTAGGGAAAGGAGCTTTTCCTGGGGCTTTTGTGTTTCCAGGTTGCTGGCCTCCTCCAACACCCAGTCTAGGATATATGTAGGAACAAAAGAAAAGACAAAAACCCTGAGTATTCATTTCTGTGTTCTTAGGACTATGTACAGTAGGGTCTACTTTCTCTTATCCACATTTCAAAATCTGTTTATTTGTAAGGTCTAAGGTTTTTAGTTGCACTTAGTGGGAGGAATAGGGAAAAGTACTTCACCTTTCTAGAGATGGTACTATTCTAATTTTTTATCACTAAGATCTGTCTCTGTAATTCGCACTTGGAAAGACTTGAGTAACTTGAATCTAGGACATTTGAATATTATCTGTGTTTTAGAAACAAAATAAAAAGTGAAGGACATGCAAAAAGAATTCCTTAAAAACTTACAGTCAAACACATAGTGCTACAGTTAAGTACCTACTAACCAATAGCAAACTGGTAAAATGCTATCTAAATCTTCATGGATGACTATATGCATATCCAAAGCTACGAAGGGAAAAAAGCAAACCACTGACAGATACCACTCCTTCAGGGAAAAAAAACCAATTCAAACAGCATAAAATCTATCAGAGATTAAATCCAAAAAGGACACAAGAAGCAATATATTAGAGGAAGACTATAGAGAGTGTATTTTTCAGTGGTCTCTTCATACACATAGTAGAAAGGTATCTAAAAGTTGTCTAAGAGGAATGAAAATGTACTTCATGTTTACAAACATCTGAATCATGACACATGTATGTTGTTTCTCTGCTAAAAAATTTTGGTAGGTAACCATAGAAAACATGAATAATTCTAAAATCAATATATTTCCCACTTGATCATAAGAGTGTATCAGTGTCAGTCCTTTTAAAGTATTTTAAAGTGTATTCTTTCCTATTTGTCTGTCTCTTTGTGATATAGTCCCAGATTTATGATCTCTTGCTTTTTTCTACCTTTTCAACTATCAAGAACCACTGAACTAAAATATTTGTATTAAACTTTCAACATGGTTGCAATAAAATTATATAAAGGAAACTAAAGAATAAGCTAATCTTTACCACTTGAATATGCAGCTCTAATGTGGCGCTTTCATCATAATTCTATGGTTCTGTTTTGTGTTTCAGCCTATATAGTTCAAATGCAATTTTCTCAGGAAATGAAATAATTTGAAAGGAGGAAAAAATCTCAAAAGGGAAAACTTGTGATTAGGAAACAAAAAGTACCTCTTCATCCAATTCTTTCATTATTGTGTCTAGTTTTATATTTGAAGTTCTGTAAAAACAAAAGGAATACAGATTAGAAAATATATTCATTTCCTACTGCCCAGTGTTGAATACTCTTATTCCTTACTTTTCCATTTTAACCAGTGTTTATTAATCTTTTTGTGTGCCATGGAGCTCTCTGGCAGTCTGGTGAAGCCTTTTCTCAGATAATATTTTAAAAAGCATAAAGATAAGCCAATTATATTGAGATACAGAAATAAGGTTTAAAAAATATATATGATCCGGTAATATCTTTATTAATATATTAAATCGCAAGATCTAGTGGAAGTAATTTCAAAGTAGTGATGAGCATAAAAGACAAGAGACAACTGTAATATAAGAAAACTGTAATTTCTATTGGCAATAAAAAACTCAAAGCTACTGTTAATAACTGTGGTTTGTTCCCAGTGTTCAGAATTGAAGGAAATACTAAATTTCAGTGATAAGTTAGAGAAAATATTCACTTTTTCTCATTCAGGTTTCAGGACCTTGAATTCTATCCATGGACTTTTTGGGAAGTTTAGGGATCTCAAGTTAAGGATCCCTAAGCTTCCTCATACAATACTTATTACTACACAAAAATTAGCCATTTAACCTTTAATACCAGATTAAGTAAATGAAGGGAAAGGTGGCACAGATCAAGTCAGTAAATGTACCTATTGGCAACTTAAGCAAAAATTTGAGATAAATTTAAAGTGTATTATCTCCATTATAATTTTTCTTTGGTTCAAAACATAATTCTGAGCTCCAAACCTCTATGTGAAAGTCTTCACATGGATGTCTCATCAAATACTTCACTTACCATCTCCAGAAATGAATTTATTTCCTCTGCTCCACAATCCTACCCCAATATAAATCTGCTTCTCCTTTACAATCCCTAAGTAAATGACATCACCTAGGAAACATGCTTGACTCATCTTCCTCTTTTACCTCTACTTAGCTGAATAAATGCCAAGGGCCACCAATTTACCACGAAGTTCTTTTTAAAACAGCAAATTTGATACATATTTTTTACTTGATATACTTTATATTTTTAGCTTAATAACTTTTTTTTTTTTTTGAGAAAGCGTCTATGTCACCCTCAGTAGAGTGCCATGGTGTCACAGCTCAGAGCAACCTCAAATTCTTGGGCTTAGGCAATTCTCTTGCCTCAGCCTCCCAAGTAGCTGGGACTACAGCCTGCCACAACACCTGGCTATTTTTTGTTGCAGTTGTTTAGCTGGCCCGAGCCAGGTTCGATCCCACCCCCTAGGTATACGTGGCTAGTGCCGTAACCACTGTGGTATGGGAGCTGAGCCAGTTTAAAAACTTCTAATCATATTTGGAACAAATTCCAAATCTCTTAGTTTGCCCCAAGAAAGTACTCTGAGATCTAACACTGATCTCCATAATGACCTTCTTAGCCTTACCACAGGGTTTTCATTCTCTTGCATCTTACTGGCTAGTTAAGCTCTTACCTTATCTCACAGATTCCGAGAACCTAACACTTCTACTTCAAATCATTCCTATTGACTTTTCTAGTTCTAGCTTTTTCTGATTTCTAAAAAAATACTACAGGCATCTCTGGATATATTCCTGTATCATTTTATTATTCTCTCCAGCTTTTACTGATAATTGTCTGTCTTCTTTGCTAAAGTACAAGTTCCATGTGGACAGGGGGTATATTTCATTTTGTACAATGTAGGGGAGAAGCACATTACCTGACACATTAACTGCAATTTTTGTCAAGTAAATGAATGTGACAAAAATTATTTTAATCCAGAGAATTAGACTAGCTAGAATCAGTCCTAACTCAATTTTGGTGGTGGTGGTCATGACGAACTTTTAGACAAAAATTTGTTTTTAGTCTGCCTGCTTATTTTAACTAAATTCTTCCAGCTCCTGCTTGGAGAAGAGGCCAGAAGGAGGACAGGGAAAGTCAAACTTTAAAAAACAGAGAGCTAAATTTTTGTGAGATATAGGGTTATAAAAAAGCTCCAGTGCAAATTCAGAAGGAATTTGTCAAATATTTGAACTTTCATAAGAAAGTACATCCAACTAAATAAAAATCATTCCACAATCCCTAGCACCAAGTTTTTATTTAAAAATACAATTTGGGAGGCACCTGTGGCTCATTGAGTAAGGCACCAGCCCCATATACCAAGGGTAACGGGTTCAAACCTGGGCCCCAGCCAAACTGCAACAAAAAACAGCCAGTCAGGTGCTGTGGGGAGCACCTGTGGTCCCAGCTACTTGGGAGGCTGAGGCAAGAGAATTGCTTAAGCCCAGGAGCTGGAGGTTGCTGTGAGCTGTGATGCCACAGCACTCTACCCATGGTGACAGTGAGACTCTGCCTCTAAAAAAAAAACAAACGCACACACATACAAATACAACTTACCAGTTCAATACATTTTAAAAGTCTCCTCTCATTTTATTTCCTTAAGGTTACACATTTTCATATGATTAGCCATTCTGGCAATTCTTATTTCTCAACTGATCCCTACCAACAATGAACCAGTTTGTCATTTGCTTTTAATTGTGCTTAAAACATTTCTTGGGTATAGAAATTTTTTATTATTTATATAATAGTCTATACCTCATTCTTCCATTTATTTCCATATTTTATACTTAGAAATTCTTTCCAAATCCAGGAATCAGTTAATTATTTGCTTATATCCAAGACTTTTTTTTAAAGTATGTATTATACACTTTCCTATATAATCTATGAGGAATGGCATAAAGTGATAAGTTTTTTCCTCCTACCCTCTCCACCTGCCCCAGGCATAAAATAGCCATTTTTTCCAATTCTATTTGTTGAATACTTAATCTCTGTGTTACCTTTGCATTTTAATTATTTAATACTATTCACTAAGAACATAATTATAAAAAATGTTTATAATTAAGTAACTCAGGATTATGCTAGGTTATTTAAAATACTCTTGATTACCCTGTATTTCATACATAAGTATGCTGTTATTAGAAACAGACCCACAGAAAAACTATTCAGAATTACTGATCTAGACAATCACAGTGGAAATTAAAATGGCTGCAACAAAAATTTAGTGAATTTTAATATTTGACATTTTATTTATCTGTATTTACATTTTAATATTTGACTTTCAAAAAGCACCTTATTTAATGTAAAATAATTTGCCTCTTCAGTTATGAAACTAAAGGAAGAGAAAAAAAGCAATGAATCAGGCAACTAAGTAAATCAGCATATAGGTTTTGTTTTTTTTTTTTTAAGAATAATGACTGCCAGGAGAAAATGTACTTTAAATGTTATGAGGAAACATGACCAATGCCAACATAAATATTACTTGTCAACTTACTTGTCCTTAGTAGTAACCTTTATCCTCATCTTCCATCTACTTTCAAGTATTTGCAGAGTATAAGCTTTAAAATAAGTATCTGCTACATACAACTTTTAACATGAAAAACATATAATTAAAGTAAATTCTCACCTGCACTTCTGCTCCATTTCATCTTTTAATTGCATTTCATTATGTAGCTGTTCTTCCAGCTTATAGATTGTTTTTTGCAAACTTTCCTGCTTTAATTAAAAAGAAATCCAAGAAATTCATTCTACTAAGAGAATTTACAGAGAAATTAAAAATAGCAAGGTTGTGTTAATATTTTATTCCTTTTGAGAAAATAATTATTTAGTTTAATCTTACCTTTTTCTTTTCTATTTTAAATTTTAAATTTAGTAAGTATTTTCTCAATATCTACTAATATGTGAGGGATTGGGTTAAGCGATAATAATACAAAAGTGAAAAAAGTTTTCCGTGTTCTCATTAAGCAAACAGTTAAACAGAGGAGGCAAAGGGAAATGGGAAGGTGAAAAGAATCTATAATGTCCCAAAGACCCATACACAAAATATCAGAATACAATGTGGTAAATGATAATACAATTATATACAAATTGCTCTGAAAGATAGAGGGGTCACTTTTAATTTTGCCAAGAACATCTATCTAATGCCTGAGGTGAGAAATTTACCAAGCAGAGAAGGTAAAAAATATGAGAAATTTACCAAGATGAGAGAAATTTACTAAGCAGAGAAAAGTGGTAGAAAAAAGACATCTTCGCTAGAAAGAACAATTAATCCAAAAGAAGGGGGACAAAATAAAATAGGATATATTGAGAAATGAGAGGAAATCAAGCAATAAGCAGAATACAGAATATACAGGGAAAACAATTCACATTACACCTAAGGAGGTTAAGTAAAACCATGTTCCTTATATACAAAAATAGGAGTTGGGTGCCAGTGGTTGCAGCGCTGGCCGCATACACTGAGGCTGGAGGGTTTGAACCCAGCCTGGGCCAGCTAAATGACAATGATAACAGCAACAAAAAAATAGCCAGGCATTATGCTGGGCGCCTGTAGTCCCAGATACTTGGGAGGCTGAAGGCAAGAAAATCGCTTAAGCCCAAGAGTTTGAGGTTGCTGTGAGCTGTGATGGCACAGCACTCTACCAAGGGTGACACAGTAAGACACTGTCTCAAAAAAAAGGGAGTTGGGAAATTGAAACTGTAATAATTTTTGAAACTGTGACCTAATGTTGGGATTTCAGAAGAATCACTCCGATAATAATTAAGTGACTAGATTAAAGTGCAGTGAAATTCTAGGAAAAGCAATCAGTTAAAAAGCTATTGAAACAATTCAGGGGGCAGCACCTGTGGCTCAAAGTAGTAAGGTGCCAGCCCCATATGCTGGAGGTGGCAGGTTCAAACCCAGCCCCAGCCAAAAAAAAAAAAAAAATTGCAAAGAAACAATTCAGGCAAGACAGAATATGGATCTAATGTAAGACAGAGGTGGTAGAAATGAACAGGAGGAAATGGATGTGTCAATTAGAAAGCAGAATTTAGGACAGCACCTGTGGCCCAGTGAGTAGGGTGCTGGCCCTATATACTGACGGTGGCAGGTTCAAACCCGGCCCCGGCCAAAGTGCAACAAAAAAATAGCGGGGCATTGTAGTGGGCATCTGTAGTCCCAGCTACTCCCAGCTACTCAGGAGGCTGAGGCAAGAGAATCACCTAAGCCCAAGAGGTGATTCTGGGAGGTTGCTGTGAGCTGTAACACCACAGCACTACTAAAGGCGACAAAGTGAGACTCTGTCTCAAAAAAAAATTAAAAAAAAGAAAGCAGAATTTATGACCTGGAAATGAATTAGAAATTAGAACAGATATAGAACGCTTGTGAAAGACAGACAATGCAAAAATAATTGCTGGAGACAAAATAGTGAGTTAGCTTTGGCCTACTATGAGGTACTTCAAAAGAGTATGGGGAGAGAGAGAAAAAGTCAGGCCTGGAGGTCCAAGGAGCAAGCTGGATGTACATGAGATTACCTACAGAACTTCGGGAAACATTTAATAATTGAGCAGAAAAAGATCCCGCAAAGAAGACTGAAAAATAAATAAAATTCCAAAGGTAGAAAGAAAGAAAGGAGGAGCATAAAAGAGTTACAAAAGTTTGAAGTTCCAAAGAAGGAATAATCAGCCAAGAAGAAAAACAAGTTATGGACTGACAATTATTCATTGTATTTGGCAACTGTAAAGTTGTTATTAGCATCTCTACTAAAAGGTTTTCCAGGAAGAGTTGAAAATTAGGTGATTTTTTTCACTTAATGCGAGGTAAATATACCATACATAATACTAAATATAAATAAACAGTATTTCTCCTCCCCTATGATCTTAACAGAGAAAAGATAAAACATAGCTGCCACTGGCAGAAACTGATTGCTAATCATCACCAAACAGAATCAATCCAAAGAAAGTACAAATCCTTTTGAGTATTTTTCAAGTCCTAATACACCTCTAATCTTATAGAGAAGTAATTTAGCGAGAGCTGGGTTACAGCAACTCCTTGTTACCTTCCCTAGATCAAAGATGCTTTCTTTATTTTTAAAGATTTCTGAGCCCTTGTAGCTATGTAACTTGCCAAATACATCTACTGGGATCAAACTTTAAAAGAGAAAGATGGCCTAACAAGTACTCAACAAATTCTTTCCCCCTTTTCTCACTTTCCCTTTCTATCACATGTTCTTACATTTAACAGTAAATGTATCAAGGAAAAAGAATTATATCAGCTTTTAAAAAATGGCTGCCACCATCTTTTCTCCTCTGTCAAAAGTATGTAGTCTATAACACATGAAAAGTTTAAAAAATGCTCTTAAAAACTGATATATTTTTTAGGAAAGTCCTCGTCAATTCCAAAAGGAATTAGCAAGTAAGACTTTTTTTTTCTCATGAACATGAGCTATATAAACAATAGAAAAAATTCAAAACTAAAATTTATTTCCTAGAGTAATTTACTTCTCAGTGGATAAATCAGATGATGCTGACTATGATGCTTACTATTATCCTCCACTCCCCCCACTCTCTTCCAGCCTTGAGGACCCACCCTCTGCTCTTCCTTGCCCTAAAACCTACACACAGCATCATCTTGGTTCTGTTGCCCTATGATTTTAAGGTTAGCAACAGTTCAGAAGAGACACCAATGAGAAATCAGAAGGTAGAGAAAGGAAACATTCACTCCTCCCCTACCCTTCTCACTTCACTGTGGTTCTCCCAGGGCTGCCTTCACTGTCTCTGCTGTGGGTCTGACAGTGTTCTATGTTCCTCTTCTGTGTTGCCAGGCTTTCTCTGAGCTATGGTACCAAGATTTTCTTTCCTTGCCCCTTCAATATAGGGATAGTGGCTTCTGACTGTTGTTAGTCAATGGTGCTTTAGCACCTTTTATTGCTACTCTTTTTTTTTTTCCTTTGTGGAGAGAGTTTCATTTTATCACCCTCAGTAGCGTGCCATGGTGTCACAACTCACAGCAACCTCCAACTCCTGGGCTTAGGTGATTCTCTTGCCTCAGCCTCCCGAGTAGATGGGACCACAGGCGCCCGTCACAATGCCTGGCTATTTTTTGTTGCAGTTTGGCTGGGGCCAGGTTTGAACCTGCCACCCTCAGTATATGGGGCCAGCGCCCTACTCACTGAGCCACAGGCACCACCCTTTTTGTTACTCTTTACTGCTAATTACAGTTATATTAATCATCTCATCATTAAACTCTCATTTAACAGATGCATGAAAAGGTATGTATGTCCAACAGAGTATTATGCAGCCTTAAAAAGAAAGGAAGCTCTGACACATACTATAATATAAACTTTGAAGACATGTTAAATGAAATAAGCCAATCACCTAAGGACAAGTATTGTATGATTCAGTTAGCATGTAGTACCTAGAATAGTCAAATGCATCGAGACAGAAAGTAGAATGGTGGCTACCAGGACCTTTGGGAGTGTGGTGAAATGAGGAGCTTTGTTTAATCCGTATGGATTTTTAGGAGAGGATGATGAAAAAGTTCTAGAAATGAATGGCGGTGACAGCTGCACAACTATGTGAAAAATGCTTAACGGCACTGAACTGTATACTTAAAAATGTTTTAAAAAACTCTTTTCATATAAATCTTTTGAATGTTACCTGTTTTCTTGTGAAGACTCTTAATGATGCACTGATTTGTCATATATTTCTAATTTCAAAGATTAAAAAAGATGACCCCTATCAATCTGTATAGCAATTTATTTATTTATTGGAGATAGGGTTTTACTTTGTCGCCCTCGGTAGAGTGCTGGGGCATCACAGCTCACAGCAGCCTCATACTCTTGGGCTCAAGTGATCCCCTTGCCTCAGCCTCCCTAGTAGTTGGGACTTCAGGTGCCTACCACAATGCCTGGCTATTTTTAGAGACAGGGTCTCAATCTAGCTCAGGCTGGCCTCAAACTCATGAGCTCAGGTGATCCACCTGCCTCGGCCTACAGAGTGATGGGATTACAGGCACAAGTCACTGAGCCTGGCTTCTGTGCAGCAATTTAAAGCTTACTAACTGTCCCTACATATTATTCCATTTGACAGTAGTGAAAAATCAGACTAGAGAGGAGACAGTATATAAAAGTGCCATAAAAATCTAAGTTCCCTAATTGCTTCTTTGCAAGCATCACATAAGTTTACTCAATATCATGCACACAAATACACAATCTACAAAACAATTTCTTAAAAACAAACAATAAGAAAACACCTACCAAGCTTTTATCCACATTGGAGCTAGTTCTGTTATCATTAGGATTTGCTGAAGATAAATATCTGGGGGAAAGAGAAGTTTAAAAAGAAAACAAACAAAAAAGCTCTTTAATTACCAATAAAAACCAATGACAAATATAGCATCCTATTATACAGAGGGCCAAAAAGGAAAAACCTGTATTTTTACATTTGTAATGCTCAAGTCATGTTTGACTTCTGCAATTACAAGAAGTGTTCAATGCAACTTGTATGCATTTTGTTATCAGTATATATTGAGTATTACAGTTTTAGTACAGTTTTTTCCTTTCCCAAAATGTGTATGTGTGTGTGTTGTGTGAGTATGTGTGTTTGGGGGGGGGGGTACCTTCCTTATATGTTCAGTATTATAGGACTCTTGTTTGTGAAAAATTAAGTAGAGGTTCATAAATATTGTAGAAACGTAATTCAGATATGTATAAATATAATTCAAATGTAATTCAATTACACATATTAAAAGCCCCAGTTAGGTCTGAAGTAGCTGCCTGTAATCACAGGGCTTAGAATTCCTGCAGCAAACGTATGAATATTCATACCAAGTAGGATAAATAAAAAATACAAATAGTTTCAAGTTAGTTTATGTCAGGTTTTCTGGCTAAAAGAGCACATTACAACAGGTTTTGCCACCAAACATAAATGAAAATGTCAGTTTTCAGAGCTTTTTGGATTTAAGAATCACAGGTAAGGAAATACTGACTTATAGAGACATGTGCACCTGCCCTGCACTCGACTGTCCTTCAACAAAGCATTACACTGCCCTTCCGTGTAAATAAAATATAAGCATTCTTGCCTGAGTGGTTGAAAGAACAATACCAAAGTTTGGGTGAACCTGCTAATCTTTTAGGACTCTAAACCTTGCAGAGTTCCTTAAATTCAGTGATAAGTTAGAATTATATGTAAATAAAAGCTGTTAGTGAATTTTAGACATCTCATTAAATTCTCAAACATCTAAATAGATCACATATGTGAAAAAATGTTCAAAGCTACCAAATGTTATGTAAAAGTAAGCTACCACTATTGCCACCATGCTACAATTACCTTGATTGCTACTTCTACCATCACCACCACTACAGTCAGCACCCTGATTAACCAGCAGAGCTCTCCAAAAGAGATCAAACAGTTATAGTATATCTCACAGCTGCTAAGGGGCAGTTGTTAATGCACTGGACAGTTAATAGTGAATAACAGAAGATGATCAAGTATTCTTTAAGTAGCATTACACAAGATATTCTAAAAGAAACAGCTACAAATATGTCATTTCTTAAGTCTTCCTTTAAAAAGTATTCCACTCCAATGGAGAGTCAAATAACTGGGAGACGATAATACGGGTTATGCAGCAGGTTTATAGAAGAAGGGACCTGTGTAACACATGGCAAATTCTAGATGTAGTGCAATTTAATCCCATTAAGCATTCCAGAAATTCAATGTGAGATTCTGTTTATACACATACAGCAAAGCCAATGGAATCTAATTAGATCAGACTATGTGATCTCTAAACTATCGTCTAAACTTGATATATAAATGAAATTGACATTTAGCCTTTGGCAAAATTTAGTAATATACAATTCTCTGAATGCAGCAAGGGAAATGTAAGAATGCTACCTGTATATATCCATTCCAGTTTTTTTTTCTTTCAAGGTCCTTTTGCATATCATATTATTGCTTTTACATAGAATCTGATCATTTAGGTAACGTTGTATGAAAAAAAGAGTATAGGAATGTAGGTAAAAGTCTAAGGCCATCTTAAAAATCATGTATAATTCAGCTATACTTAAGCAATGAAGATCTACTTGTTTGCTAAAAGCATGTTTGTATTTCAGGGATAAGAATTTCAGAAGTTTTCTAAAAAATTTCATACTAGTACCTTCAAAATTGTACTTATAAGTTACAGCAAGGCTAACCAATATTTTGCTGATTCTTTAATTCTTAAAAGCAACCATACCTTTTTCCATTCATGTAGTAAGCAATTACTTAAACAATACTACATACATTAGTAAATAATGCTGTCACGGTATACAGTACAATTCTATTTTTAAGAAACTTAGATATTAGTTCAGGATATGAAACACAAACACAAGGAAAAACCAGAGAATGTAATCGAGTGCACAATAATGTAGGACCCAGAGTATAATTAATGTTAATTTAACCTAAATAAAAGTAGATAAAATAATTAACAGCTAGATTCTACCACAGAAAATCCAGAAACAATGGGGTTGTTTATGTCATCATCAGTGTTTCAGAAACCAAGCCAAAAATTAACTGATGAAAACACAAAAAAATGAAAGGATACTTCAGCAAAAACTACCCCAAAGCTCTTCTATGTATGTATGGCAATATAAAGTAGCTACAATATTGTACTCATGACATCTTAAGGAGAAAAAGATTAAAATTTTGGGCTTTTCAATGAGTCAAACCTCAGGTTACATCATCATTCATTTAGCTACCTGGATGATGATGTAACAAAAAGTATTTAATACTATTTCACAGTAGATTATTGGAGAAGTTTCAAAAAGCAAAACTAATTTCCCTTTGTTTTTTTTAAACTGGACCTGAATTGTTCTTATAAAAAATGCTCTTATACTAAAATGACAAGACCCTTCACATAAATATAAGTTTAGCTATAATAACCTCAAATTTAATAATTACTCCCAGCAAATCAATTATCTAATACCACTCTAATGTAGTATAATTTAATTAGAAATACATATTTTTCAGGTAATTAAAAAATAATAGTCACCTGTAGCTCAAGCGGCTAAGGCCCCAGCCATATACACCAGAGCTGGCAGGTTCAAATCCAGCCCAGGCCTGCCAAACAACAATGACGGCTGCAACCAAAAAATAGCCAGGCCAACAAGGGTGAGTGCCTGTAGTCCCAGCTACTTGGGAGGCTGAGGCAAGAGAATCGCTTAAGCCCAGGAGTTGGAAGTTGCTGTGAGCTGTGATGCCATGGGCACCCTACCCAGGGCGACAGCTTGAGGCTCTGTTTCAACCCCCTCAAAAAAGTAGATTTAACATATCCAGTAAGTGTTGTCATATATTTACTGTATTATACAGGTCTAGCACTTTGTTTAGATTTCTACTATGTAGTGCCTATCACCCTATATTTTATAATTTATCCATTTCCTCACTAGGATATAAACATCTCAAGAGAAGGTACTATATCTTATTCATCCTCCAGGCACCTTTGTGCTTAGTATATACCTGACAAAGAGTAAGTTATCAAATAGATCTGTTGAAGGAATGAGCGAGTGCTCATTAAATGTTAAATGTTCAACTTGATATCTCAAGTACATTTGAAAAGACTAAAGCTAACATTAGCTCATGCTAATGATAATACCTAACACCAATAGCTTATTACACGCAAAGCACTATCTATTGTAAATGCTTTCCTGTGTTTTGATTTACTTAATTCTTACAACAGCCCTATGAGGCAAGTAGCAGCATCATCATCATCTTCTCTAGTTTTGAAGAAAAGGAAGCATGAAAGGTTAAATGCATTGTTCAAACTCACAGTATATACACTATGTGTTATAACATATGGTAAAATCATTAAAATGGGTTTTGGGAGGAATAATTTATTTTTTCAAAAGCTAAAAATTATAGAACTTTGATAGCACCAATATAGTGATGATAATGCTAGAAATGCTCATATGTTCTTCTAAAATGTATTATAAACTGTACCTCTTTAGATAATATTGGCCAAAGCATCAACATTAATAGCATCTTTTATGCTATTAATTGCTATAACATGAGAATACATAGTATTAGTTTAGCAAAAAAAAAATTAAAAAACATCCTAAATGAGGGTGAATCTGAAAAAAATTAACTACGAAATACTAGAAATATCAGGAATCAATTAAAATGGCATTATTATAAGATACATCTTTATATGCCAGTAAGCTTACTTTAAAATGATTTTCAGACATCCTGAAGAAAACAATATGAATATGACAAAATCAGACCTATTCCTAAAATCACTGCTTAGCACACTTACCTACGATTGCTATAATATGTAAATCCTACAAAAGGTAGCTGATTGCCAACAAAAGCTTTAGGAATAGGGAATGTTTCTTCATCTCCTTTATCTTCTTCCAGGTCATCAAAATTACTAGTATCAATGTCACTACTTAAATCAGGTACGACTGGTGCTACAGCTAAAAACAGAAACAAAATTAGGTTCATTTCAAATTTAATATACAAATAAAATGAAGTAATGAAGCACAAATTTTATATCAAATAGTGATGTTTTCTCTCTTCTGAACAGCTTGCAAACTACAAATTCCATAGGAGTTTCCTAGTAAATTTCATTATACTAAGCTTTAGTAGGATTAAACATTGACTGATATTGATCATTTTGTAATTCTAGAAAAAAATCACCCTGTAATTATCTATACCTCAAATTTAACTTACATATTACAAATCAAGTATTATTAAAGTTTGTTTTAGATACACCAAGGTATAAAATATGCAAAAGCACTTGGGATTACAGACGTGACTCTTTAGAAGCTATACCATTACAAACTGTACTTTGAAAAGTTGGTTAGTTTCAAATACAGTAAAGGCGTTCCCCAGGTTCCTGAGAACATCTTTAGGTCAAATTTGTATATAACTCAAATCTCTAATGAACAGTGCATGGTGTAGGGCAGTGCCTGTGGCTCAAAAGGGTAGGGCACTGGCCCCGTATGCCAGAGGTGGCAGGTTCAAACTCAGCCCTGGCCAAAAATAATAGTAATAATAATATGGTGTAATACCATGGTAATAATAATTAGAATACTCATGTAATAAATGTTATAAAAACTTTTGTGCTCTTCCTTTTAATTCAAACAAACGGAATACAAAAACAAACTCATATAAAACTTTTAGATAGAATATAGGAAAAATCTTAAAAAAGAATGTTAAAGGTTAACTGTCATCTAATGCTGCATCAATATAAGGCTAATAAGAATGTTACGCTTATTCTGATCTTCTAATCAAACCACTAATAACCTTTCCATTGTAATAATTAATCTATTAGTAATACCGTGAAAGCTTAGTAATAACTGATGCTTTCACGGGAGCACTGCCTTTCACATGTTCCGTCATTCTCACTTTATCCTTTATTCCAACAGTGCACTACTAATGCCTAATGCCTTCTCAATCAATGATGGCAGCTGCCTTTTCACTGAATGCTTACTATTTCTACATTTGTTTCCACTGTAATCAACTTTCTCTTCACTATAGGTTCAGGACTTGCAATGGAATTTCACTTTGGAAGATGGTCATAAAGGTAAACACAGACCCACGAAAATCAAATTAAAATGTTGAGACAAAAGTGATACTGTGTGTAAGTGACCATATAAACAATGTGACTAGCTGGTAGCATAAAGATGTTGCACCAACAAATCACTCATGCCATGTGGATTTGCTTACATATGCGTGGAAGAAACTACTCCCTAAATTATTAATTTAATTATTTATCATCCCTAGGGGAGCTCTGGAGCCCATTCATAAGTAGAGAATGCCATAAGTTGGGTCGTAAGTAACCTGGGGACTGCTTGTGGTTTCTTTAGTTTATTATAGCAAACCAGAAATCAAGGTTACTTCTTAGTTTCCTGAATAGAATAATTTGGAACTGAAATAATGTTACTCACTTAGAATGATCAACACTCCTCTACACTTCAACATCTCCATTAGATAAAGTCATAAGGAACAAAATATTTTGAATTATATTTTCAGACTAGCTACCCCCAGAATTAAGTGATTAAGGATCAACTGAGTGAGGCATTTATGATATAATTATCAGGAAAAAAGGGGTAGGGATACAGATGGATATAGCATCTTCAAGAATTATAGTCTTGATGAAGAAAAAGTCTTAACAACATGTGACAATATTTAAATATTCATAATACAGGAAAAGATACTATACGATACTAACACTCCTATCTTCTTTTAGAGCTTGAATATGTTGGAATACATTTAAAATAAATCTTAAGAGAAATATTTTTTCAGTTTAAAGATACTACAGTACAATAAAACATCACTGAATTACTAGGATTAAAATACTGAAAAATTATTTTCAACACAAATATCTCATGTTCCTTTAAAGAAAAAGATGAAGATGAGCAAACAAACAAAAACAGCTGAACTAGTTTTATACTCAATCTCTTTATATAAAGGAATCATTTGTCTTTTTAATCATCTGAGTATTTTAGGCAAGAAATACCTATTGTTGTACTATCTCAGACATACTGAACTAGTCACAGAACAAAACACATTTAGCTCAATGAAGCTGCAGTACTATCAACAACAGTAAGGACAGAGTAATGAAACAGCTTTGCTGGGCGGCACCTGTGGCTCAGTGGGTAAGACGCCAGCCCCATACACCGAGGTGGTGGGTTCACACCGGGCCCCGGCCAAATTGCAACAAAAACAATAGCCGGACGTTGTGGTGGGCGCCTGTGGTCCTGGCTACTCGGGAGGCTGAGGCAAGAAAATCGCCTAAGCCCAAGGAGTTGGAGATTGCTGTGAGCTGTGATGCCACAGTACTTACTCTACTGAGGGTTAATAAGTGAGATTTTTGGCTCAAGAAAAAAAAAAAATAAAAAAACAGCTTTGCCAACATTCCCTTTCCTTAATGGCCAAGGGAACTGCCTAACTAGGCAATACTAGTTTCCTAACAATAACTACCTAATTTGTAAAATGAGGGGGAAATAAAGATTGCTGCTCCTTGGAAAGTACTTAAGTTAATTATAGTCTTGGCATAAATTTTACTTTAAAACAGTGGTTCTCAGTCAGCACCTAATGAGTCCAGGGATACTGCTTTAAATATACTCCTATGTTCAGGACAACCCCACAAAAAGATTTATCTGGGCAAATGCCCGCTTTAAAATTATCATATAAGGAAGATTTTCAAGAGAAGCAGAGTAGTGTGCTGTATTTTCTCTTGATGTTTGTAAAGGACCTGTTTGTTTTAAAGACAACATACTATTTCATAGCACTTTTTATTTTTTGTTGTTTTTTAATTTTTTTTTGAGATAGTCTCACTTTGTCACCCTTGGTAGAGTGCCATGGTGTCACAGCTCACAGCAACCTCAAACTCTTGGGCGTAAGCGATTCTATTGCCTCAGCCTCCCAAGTACCTGGGACTATAGGTACCCGTCCTCCAGCTATTTTCTTGTTGCAGTTGTCATTGTCGTTTAGCAGGCCCAGGCTGGGCTCAAACCTACCAGCCTCGGTGCATGTGGCTGGCACCATAACCACTGTGCTTTGGGTGCTAAGCCTTATAGTTTTTAAATGAGACAAGTTCTATCTGTTTAAGTTCTGAGATACAAGTGAAGGAAATCCTGGAAGATTTGTAAAATTATTTCTGCTTCTAAATTAAGACGTGTAGGCTTTACACAATACCACATAACTGTATTCACTTCAGAATTCATAAATAAGAAGAATAACGATAGCACTATTGAATTATCACTAATATATAAGGTATTCAATTTATTCTTTTTTTTTTAACCTTTTTTTTTGAGACAGAGCCTTAAGCTGTCCTCCTGGGCCCTGGGTAGAGTGCTGTGCCATCACAGCTCACAGCAACCTCCAACTCCTGGGCCCAAGCGAGTTTCCTGCCTCCACCTCCCAAGTAGCTGAGACCACAGGCACCTGCCACAACGCCTAGCTCTTTTTTTGGTGCGGGGGTGGGGGTGGGGGGGTGGGTTTGCAGCGATCATTGTTGTTTGGCGGGCCCAGGCTGAATTTGAACCCGCCACCTTAGGTGTAAGTGGCTGGCACCTTAGCCACTTGAGCCACAGGAGCCGAGCTGGTATTCGATTTATTAACAAATTAGCTTTGATTAAATAACTAATCACCTCAGAATATTGTTTCATAAAAAAGAATCCAGCTGATGTCACCAAAAGCAGATTAGGGAATTCTAACAACCCGTATCTCTACTGAAACAACTACTGAACTGGCAAAAACTATCAGAAGCAACATCTTGAGAATTCTGGAATCTAATAAAAAATTTATAAAAAGGAGGAGAGTATTTAATAAAGAAAGAAGCTGCTCACTTTTCAGGATTTAAGGAAATCTCTGTCCCTGGCTGAGATAACAGAATGGAGACTGATAAGGAATATAGACTTTGCAAAAATAGTTTGGAAAAGTCACTAAACGAATGACTACAGCCTACAACAGTGACTTTCTTTTTTTTTTTTTAGATACAGAGTCTCACTTTGTCACCCTCAGTAGGGTGCCATGGTGTCACAGCTCGCAGCAACCTCCAGCTCTTGGGCCTAGGTGATTCTCTTGCCTCAGCCTCCCGAGTAGCTGGGACCACAGGGCGCCCACTACAACACCCAGCTATTCTTTGTTGCAGTTTGGCCAGGGTGGGCCCAAACCCACCATCCTTGGCACATGGGGCCGGTGCTCCACTCACTGAGCCACAGGTGCCCCCCGACAAACAGTGACTTTCTAAACCAGTGTGGCTCTAAACTGAGGGTGAACAAGATCATGAAGCTCATGAATCTTCTGCCAGAAACCAAGCTATTCTGTATCCTCTTTCCGTACCACCAAAGAACATGAGGTAAAGACTAACTGCCACTGTAACTTGGAAACACGTGAGTAGTAAAATTACCCCCCCCAAACTACTATTTGTATAAGAAAGCAATTTTGCCAAAGAAAATGGAATGTCAACAAAATTAAAATAAATTAAAACTATTATATAATTTTTTTAAATTTAGCACATCAGAGAGGTCAGTTCAGAATAAAAGAATTTTTGGTACTTTAGGGTGAGAAGTGAAGGGACAGGAAGAGAAAAAGGGTAGAAAAGAACAGTAAGTTCTAAGAATTCAATTTTTCTTTCATTTCAGTAACCACAAAGAGAACTATTAGAATTAGGAAAAACCTATCAAAATGCTTACAAGTATGCCACATCTAAATATACTATAATAAAACACAGATAACAATGTAGCTCTTAAAAAGATACAAAAATGATACAAAAAGATGTTAATGGAATATCTCTAAAATATAAACAAAATTTGCTTAATTTAGGTCAATGAAGTATTTCATTCATTTTTTTCAGAAATAAAAGCAGTATGAAATAGGTTCAACAATATAAAAAAATGCCATTGTTTTAGACTCTCTAATTCCTTGGGCTCCATAAGGGAAAATAGTTTTGTTTGATCACTCTTTCCCAGTAACTGAAACAGAAAAATGTTCAGCACATAATAGGTGTTCAAAATATATTTGTTACCTCTTCTTTAATTAATTTATCAGTTTTCAACATATAAAAGAAAACACATTCTCTTTATGTTTTAAGGTGATTTACTATGTGGTTATTATGTGATTTACATTGCCTAACTTTGTTTGAAAAAGAACTTAATGCAATACAAAATATACTTCAATCCCATTTAATTTTTTTCATATTTACAATCATATTTGTATGTTTTTGGTCTTCTTAAACTTTACTAAGAACGTAATCTGAAAAAAAAAAAAAAAAGAAGAATGTAATCTGAATAGAAAAAGAAAGCTTTTTGGCCGGGCGTGGTGGCTCGTGCCTGTAATACCAGCACTCTAGGAGGCCAAGGTGGATGGACTGCCTGTGCTCACAGGTTTGAGACCAGCCTGAACCAGAGTGAGACCTCATCTCTAAAAATAGCTGGGCATTGTGGCAGACGCCTGTAGTCCCAGCTGCTTGGGAGGCAGAGGCAAGAGAATCGCTTGAGCCCAAGAGTTTGAGGTTGCTGAGAGCTATGACGCCATGGCACTCTATGGAGGGAGGGAGGGAGGGAGGGAGGGAGGAAGGAAGTAAGTAAGTTAGTTTTCCATGTAACCATTTGTCTCAAACCCTATTCATCTTTGTTTCTTTTTGTTTTTTTTTTTTTGAGAAAGAGTCTCACTATGTTGGTAGAGTGCTATAGCGTCACAGCTCACAGCAACCTCAAACTCTTGGGCTTAAGTGATTCTCTTGCCTCAGACTCCCAAGTAGCTGGGACTATAGGTGCCCACCACAATGCCCAGCTATTTTTTAGTTGTAGTTGTCACTGTTGTTTGCTAGGCCCAGGCTAGATTTGAACCCACCAACTCTGGTGTATGTGTCTGGCATCCTAGCCGCTAAGCTACACCACTGAGCCCATCTCTTTGTCTTGCAATAATTTCTCTAATTACAGCATGAAGATAATAATCATGTCACATATATTTCTGAAGAGAAGGAAGTTCCTTATTTACTAGTTAATAAATTCTTCTAAGATCCGGCTGCTCCCATAGCTTCTCCAGACAGCTGGCCTTTCAATGACATTCTTTGTTGTGGTATAATTTCTTAAATATCCAGAAGAATTTATTTCCCCCTTTCCCTTTTCAGACAATTTTATACCATAGTACAATGAATGTACTGTACTTGAAGGCAACATAACTGTTCTTTTAAAACATCTGGTAACTAGAGTTACTTCACTAACATTAGCAAATCTATATACTCTATTTCAGCAGAATTCACAAGATTTTTTCTCTCACAAATGAACTTGAATTTCTCTCACAAATGTAACTCCCTTACTGTCTCAACTAGATAGGCAGTTGACAAATAACTAATACGTTAACAGTTTCTAAAACTACATAGCTCAGTTCATTTCCATTATTGATGTTCAATACTATTGCTACCACACCAAATTAGGAGATGGTATACAATATTCTGTCTCTGATAAATAAATAGGGAAACATTCCTGAGACTTCAAGCAGGAGAAAATAAACTCTTTACCTCCCAACTCTGCAAAGATAATGGGAATCTTTGGTGATATCTTAACTTCAATTCAGCCATGTTGCACAAAGTTTTCTTTCTGTGAATCACCTTAATTTTAACTTTTCTTCAAAAAATAAGAAAATGTTCTAAACTGAAAATTAATTTCTTGCACATTACATTTTAGTATTTCTAAGTTATAAGTTCCAAAGCCTAATGGAATCAAAAATACTACAATTGCCTATAGCTGTATAAAGAGAATTAAAGTGAATTCTGGCATTTATTAATAACATAATCTCCTCATGTTTTAGGTTTTAATAAAAACAAGAGAATAACTTGTCTTTTCACAAAATTTTTAATTTGAATCTTCCATAATGAGATAAGTAAAGCCTTAAATAATTTGACAAAGATCAAAAATCAGATTATGACTGCTAACTTAAATCCATTACATTTATATTCTGTTTCATCTTGGAATCTTTTTTTCAGCCAGGGTCTTCCTCTAACTCCTAGCTAGAGTATAGTGGTATCATCATAGCTCAAGGCAACCTGAAATTCCTGGACTCAAGTGATCCTCCTGCTTCAGCCTCCTACAGAGCTGGGGCTACAGGTGAGCACCACCATGTCCAGATAACTTTCCTTTTGTTGTTGTTGTTGCTGTTGTTGGAGAGACAAGTTATTGCTCTTGCTCAGGCTGCTTTTCATCGCCTGGCCTTAAGCAATTCTCCCACTTCAGCATCCCAGAGCACTAAGATTATAGGCAGGAGCCACTGCATCTGGCCCATCTTGGTATCTTCAGTAGGAGTAAGAGAAACAGCAGTACAATTTCCCCAGTATTATCAAATAGCCTCTCTTTAACTGGGCTAAGACAATTCCCATACAGTACCTGTGTGCCTCTGATTTTCATTAGATATGCACAAATACTTTGCAAGGCAATTTCAGACTACTTACCACAACTATTTTCAAATATTTACTGCAATGTGCAAGAAAAAAAAACTTACTGTCTCGAAGGGTTTCCCAAGCCCACTGATCATTTTTGAAGAAGAGATGTCGTTTGATTTCTTCTACACCATTTCGCCCTAATCTCACTTCTCTGAATAGAGAGGAGAAAAATAATTAACATTTCTTACTATGTATCATAACCTGCCCAGTTTATTTGTGGGCAGAATGCTAAATCTATGTAGGATAACAAATCCAGTTCTAAGTCACCTTGAAATTTTATTCATTGTCAGCATTATTTTCAACTCAAATAGAAAATATGTTGAAAAGAACATTAAAGAAACTTTTAAAAGAATACTAAAGAAAACAATATATAAAACCATAGATTTGCTGATACTCCATGACTACTTATATTAACAAGGAAAACTCACATGAATCATCACCTTACTTCATTAGCATAATAAAGCACAAAGTATTTTCCTGACGGTCTCTTTCTCATAGTGGTAAAGTCACATTTCTTTTTTTCCTAACTTATAACTTTGGTAGCAACACTAGATGCTACCAAAAACTCTAGAAACATATTTTAAATTTTAAATTTCCATTTTGTAATCTATTAAATATGACCAATCAAAAACCAGTAACAACTAATTCTCTTTTTTTTCCACAACTAATTCTTTTTTTTTTTTTTTTAACAGAGTCTCACTATGGTAGAGTGCCATGGTGTCACAGGCTTACAGCAACCTCAAACCTTAAGCAACCTCTTCTGGGCTTAAGGGATTCTCTTGCCTCAGCCTCCCAAGTAGCTCCAGCTATTTTTTTTGTTGCAATTGTCAACTGTTGTTTTTAGCTGGCCTGGGCTGGGTTTTAACCTGCCTGCCTCAGTGTACGTGGCTGATGCCACAATCACTGTGTTATGGGTGCCAAGCCATAACAACTAATTCTTGACACTGCTACACAATTCAGAACAATGGACAAGTTATTGATCCCTGGCTTCTTTTTGGTGAGCATAAAGATTTTAAAATGTGGTTTTAGCTGAATTGGAAAGAAGAACTCAGCACCTTTTGTTCTCTAGTAGTGATGAAGTAATTCTCATTACTAATGAGAATACTCTGAATTCTAAATTTTCTATTATAATTAAAAGATATACTGGTTTAGATGTGTGTTATTTTCTCTAAAAAGCTTTCGTGAATTCTCCAGGACTAGATTAAAATCTCTCCAGCACAGAATACTTATCTCTTGGTAATTATCTCTCTGTACTACTAATGTCTGATTTGCAAGTCTAATTTCCCCAAAGAGCTAGGAGGTCTTTCAGAAAAGGAGCCTTATATCTTCCTCACTTCTATATTCCTAGCATGAATACACAGCATAATATAGTTCTTTATATTAAAATGTAAAAGTTTCAAAAATTATATTTCCTTTCAAACTCAAAAGGACATAATGAAGATAAAGTTAATTTTAATTAAAGTGAATCTCGAATTGAAATATATTTAAAAGTACTAGGCCTCTGTACTTTTAAAATAAACAATATACAATCATAAATATGAAGTATCTTATAAATTCAGTTTCACATTTCAAAAGTAAACCACCAGGATACATATGCCATTTTTGTTTCAAAACATACACATGTATATTCCATCTACATTTAGAAAAATGACTGCTGAATCTGGAAGATACAAAACATGACTATGTCTAAAAGAAAGGAGGTAGAAAATACATCTCTGTGTTTGTATATGCATATACATACACATATATATTTCTTTTTTTGAGACAGAGCCTCAAGCTGTCCCCCCGGGTAGAGTGCTGTGGCACCACAGCTCACAGCAACCTCCAACTCCTGGGCTCAAGTGAGTCTCCTGCCTCAGCCTCCCAAGTAGCCGGGACCACAGGCGCCCGCCACAACGCCCAGCTATTTTTTTGGTTGCAGCCATCATTGTTGTTTGGCAGGCCTGGGCTGGATTCGAACCTGCCACCTTAGGTGTATGTGGCTGGCGCCTTAGCCACTTGAGCCACCAGTGCCAAGCCCACATATATATTTCTTATAGCTTTATACTATTGATGTCATTTCAACAAGCATATATTGTAAATTATCAAATCTAAAACAGCATAAATTAGATGTATCATTTTTGTATCACTAGAAAATAAAAGCTTTCCATTAAATTAATATATATCATTGATAGTGAGATATATTCTGATTTTAGAGATGTTAACATGTTTTAAAAAAACTTTTAGAACTCAATAAAATACACTATCATTTTTATAACTAGCCAAGTTAAAAATTTAACAACAAAAGAAAAAAAAATCTTCTGGTTTGGACATTAGCCAAGACTATTTTTTTGTGTGTGTGAGATAGTCTCTCTTTTTTTTAATTTGAGACAGAGCCTCAAGCTGTCCCCCTGGGTACAGCAACCTCCAACTCCTGGGCTCAAGTGAGTCTCCTGCCTCAGTCTCCCAAGTAGCTGGGACCATAGGCGCCCACCACAACGCCCGGCTATTTTTTTGGTTGCAGCCATCAATGTTGTTTGGCAGGCCCAGGCTGGATTTGAACCTGCCACCTTAGGTGTATGTGGCTGGCACCTTAGCCACTTGAGGCACAGGTGCCGAGCCAAGATAGTCTCAGTAGAGTGCTGTGGTGTCACAGCTCACAGCAACCTCAAACTCTTGAACTTAGGTGATTTTCTTGCTTCAGCCTCTGAAAGTAGCTGGGGCTACAGGCGCCCGCCACCAACGTCCAGCTATTTTTTGTTGCAGTTGTCATTGTTGTTTAGCTAATCCCGGCCGGGTTCGAACCTGCCACCTTCAGTGTACGTGGCTGGAGTCTTAACCACTGTGCTACAGGCACCAAGCCCAAGACTTTTTCTACCAATTTCTTAGGTATGATAAGCATGCTGAGACCCAGAAAAGACATCCAGAATATCATAAAATTCTATCAGGTTTATTGTCATGAATAATTTTCAAAATTATTAAATACTATACATTCATATGCAGAAGCTTCTATACAGACCTTAAAATCTGAGGAACAAGATGGGACTAAATAGAAATTCAGTGATAAAATTATTTACCTGTCAGTAAGGAAGGCACAAATAAGATTTTTTGCTTCTTTTGATATGTCATTGTCATCAGGGAAGGTAAGTGAATTTTTATGGTTCATAATCTTACTATAAGTCCCAACCAGAGAATCTGCATAAAAAGGTGTATCACCTGAAAAGATAGAGAAAACAAAAGCAAAATACATTTGAAAAAAATCTGTTTCAGAGGAAGTCAAAGTTATCTGTTAAAAAAAATTATGTGTTAAACTGAAAACATACACTTAATATAAAAAAAAGAAAACATCACAGTTGCTCTAACCCTCCAAACAGCTTTTAAAGGTACATATAAAGCAGGTTTAGATCATTTTTGTTTCCAATAAAAATTATCATTGCTTAATGTAATGAATATTATATTAGAAAAAGACAACTGTTGAAATTTGAGGTGAACTGAAAGAGATATAAATTCTCCTCTACTTACCTACAAGCATCTCATATAAAAATACCCCAACAGACCACCAGTCACATTCTCTTCCATAATAACCATCACCACCTTGGGATTTTAATACCTCTGGGGAAATATAATCAGGTGTTCCAACTGCTGTATCACATCGTACCATACCTTCCTAAAAAGAATGGCAGGTAAAATTCTGAATTAGGATATAAACTCCCAATTATTTAAACTGACTTTTTATCTCATATATATACTTGCTGTCATACAATATTCATAATACATACTATATAATGTATGATCATTGGTTTTTATTCTGTAATAATACTCACTAGAAAGACATATTGCCACCATTTATTATTCCCCCAGTTGTGCCAATATAACCATCTCATTTTAACTGCAGAAAACAAGTATATAAGCCAAGGCAAATAAACTGAGGAGCTGATAGGATGAGGAATTTTATATAATTTATTATATAAATGCTGACTTCATTTTTTACTAAAATAGCTGTTCAACTATACTTGAAACTGTGAAGAAAACATGCAAAAGTTAACAGTACAAATATAAAATGACGGAAATTGTATGGGTAAAGATGTAACAGTGCTAAGCATGCTGAATAACTATCAGATATGCATTTTATTATTTTAATTATATTATTAATGTATGTTAATATATGATTATTATTAATATATTTTTAAATTCTCTATGTGTGTGTGTGTGTGTACATATATATGTATTTTATTTATTTATTTATTTTTTTGAGACAGAGCCTTAAGCAATCGTCCTCGGTAGAGTGCCATGGCGTCACAGCTCACGGCAACCTCAAACTCCTGGGCTTAAGTGATTCTCTTGCCTCAGCCTCCCACAACGCCCAGCTATTTTTTGGTTGTAGTTGTCACTGTTTGGCAGGCCCAGGCCAGATTTGAACCCACCAGCTCTGGTGTACGTGGCTAATGCCTTAGCCGCTTGAGCTACAGGCACCACCATCTTTAAATTATATTTAAATTTAGTCACAGGGCTCTAAACTTATTGCCCAGTTTGGAATGCAGCAGGGTATTATAGTAGCTCACTACAGCCTCAAACTCCTAAGCTCAAATGATCCTCCCAAATCAGCCTCCTAAATAGGTGGGAAAAAAGGTGTGCACCACCATGCCCAGCTAATTCTTTTTTAGAGACAGGGTCTCACTATGTTGCCCAGGCTGGTCTTAAACTCCTTGCCTCAAGCAGTCCTTCTACCATGGACTCCCAAAATGTTGGGATTATATGCATGTGCCACTGTGCTGGTCTGATAATGCATTTTAACTACCTCCCACCAAAAAGAAAACAATATTTATATATTATGCATTTTAGCTGGTATTAATGCTACAGAATCATAATTAAATGTTCACACAAAAGTTCTCATGTAATACTTCTAACTAACAAATTTTCTTTTAAAATAATAAATGTAGCCTCCTCACTATTGCTTTTTGATAAGTTTCAAAGAGTATAAACTGTTTCAATAGAACATAAAGCAGTATACTTGCTTCCTCAGCTGTGTACAGAAGTTATTATACAAATAGTAACCAAACTTGAAAACAAGCAGTAAAATCATTTACATATTAACATGAGGTGAGTAAAATACTAAAAAAACCCACACATTACTGAAATCCAATTTTTATGAGAGTCTAATTTTAACACTGGCAGAAGTATTTAGTGACATTTAGGCTAATTCCATTCCTAGTTACCAGTAGTGTATATTACAGAGTTGTCAGGAAGGATTTAGTAAATCTGGCAACCCACATTTACCCTAAATAGGAAAAAATAAATCTCTGACAAGTTACTAATACAACATTGAAACCATGGTATCTAGTTCAACAAATAAGGTCACATCAATTCTGGACAAGTCCAGATATGGTTAGTAAATTCTTACAGCATTTTCTAAAGAAGCATCTATCTTGAATTAGCAAAAACTAAATTCCAATTAACTAATTAACCTTATTCATCTTCATACAAGTACCAAAATCTGCTAACTTCAAATGTCCAGATTTATCCAGCAGCATGTTATCAGGCTTCACATCTCTGAGGAGAAAAAAACATGTGGAGTATTTCTGAAACAGATTAGACACACTGCAAAGACTGTAAAGAGTCAGTTATTTCAGGTATCCTCACCCCATCTAGACAAGGACCCTTGATCCATCCATATTTTCTATTCATATCTATAAAATGAATTTCATCAAGGAAACTCCTTTGTATATTAATCCCCCAAAAAGACACATCTATTTCTTTTTCTTTTAAGTACAGTTTGATTCTTCCAGAGGAAAATCAAATCATTTGAGAGAGATTAACCATCAAAAATATAACTTCAGACATAAAAGGTAACTGACACATATAAAATAGATCACACATAAATAACCACAGGACATGGTCTAAGTCACTGTTATTTTTGATCCCTGAAACACAGGCATAGCAATTGCACACAGGATTTAAGCAGTATGTGCAGAACAAACGAAACTATTCTAATGAATACACAGGATCTATCCACTAACTAATCTGTATATAAAAAATTAGGATCAAAGTTTTAACACTCTGACACAAACCTTAGAAAATTAGTTAACAATTTCTATTTTTCAGAAAGCCATATAAAAAGGTATATAATCTGATGCGGGATATTATAGAAAACATATCAATTTTAAACTGAAATGCTAAAACTAAGAACTTCAAGGTTTTAAATTCTGAAATCCCACTCACATGTCATATAGGTTAAAAATGGGTAGATTTAGAGTAGGAAATGTTACTCACATAAAGTTTATTTCAAGTACTCTCTTCAACAAATGAGACAATTTAAAGCATTTTTGTCTTTACCTATGGATAAAACCCATGGAATGAATTGCATCCAATGCAAGAACTACTTCTGCAGTATAGAAACGTGCCCATTTTTCAGGTACATCATAGTTGCTCATTAAGTTTACAAGATCTCCACCAGGCATGTATTCCATCACCATGTAGAGATAACGATCATCTTGGAATGCATAGAAAAGCTATACAAATACAAAAAAACCCCCACAAATTCATTAATATGAAATAAAACTGTTTCATTTTAAAAGTATCAAAAATAGTAATATAAGATTTAAGTAAAATAATCAAACCGCAGAACAGTAGTTACAAGTACATTTCTTTTTAAAAAAAAAAGGGGAGGGGCTCGGCACCTGTGGCTCAAGTAGCTAAGGCGCCAGCCACATACACCTGAGCTAGTGGGTTCAAATCCAGCCCGGGTGGCCAAATAACAATGATGGCTGCAACCAAAATAGCCAGGCTTTGTGGCAGACGCCTGTAGTCCCAGCTACTTGGGAGGCAGAAGCAGGAGAATCACTTGAGCCCAGGAGTTGGAGGTTGCTGTGAGCTGTGATGCCACGGCACTCTATCCAAGGTGACAGCTTGAGGCTCTGTCTCAAAAAAACACAAGTTACCACAGAAACCTTTATATATGCAAAAAGACCATAAACTATTACTCTGAAGAGTTAGATGAGGGAGACATGTTTTTCTTCATAACTTTTTTTTTTTTTTAAGAGACAGAGTCTCACTTTATCGCCCTTGGTAGAGTACCATGGTGTCACAGCTCACAGTAACCCCCAACGCCTGGGCCTAGGCAATTCTCCTGCCTCAGCCTCCCGAGTAGCTGGGACTACAGGAGCCCGCCATAACACCCAGATATTTTTTGTTGCAGTTTGGTCAGCACTGGGCTTGTACCCGCCACCCTCAGTATATGAGGCCAGCCCCACCCACATAACTTTCTATACTATTTTAATTTTTTAGAAATTGAAGCATTTTCAATAAAGAACATACAAATCTCCTAAGCACAGAAAGATTATACTTTTTTTTTTTTTTTTTTTTGAGACAGGGTCTCATTCCGTCACCTGGGATAGAGTGCAGTGGTGTCATCACAGCTTACTGCAACCTGAACTCCTAGGCTCAAGTGATTCTCCTGCCTCAGTCTCCTGAATAGTTGTGACTACAAGCATCCACCACCATGCCTAGCTAATTTTCTTATTCTTTGTAGAGATGGGGTTTCACTTTTCCTCAGGCTGATCTTCAACTCCTGACCTCAAGCAATCCTACTGCCTCAGTCTTCCAAAGTGCTAGCACTATAGGCATGAGCCTTCGTACCTAGCCAAAATACTATACTTCTAACTTATACATTAGTGGAGTCTACTCTTAAATTTACATCAAGACCACAATTCTCAAGCTGGCTATGATCAATTTTCAGTTGTTCCTTAGCCATGTGGCTTTGGAAGTTTGTTTAACCTACCTATGTTCCTGTGAATATAATCCCTTCTAGAAGAGTGTAAGGGATTATACCTTAAGTTTTATACCTGCTAATCAGTGAAGCATACAGATGCCTGGCAGTTAGCAAGTGCATAATAAATGTATAAAGGACAAAATCATGAATCAATCTATAAATGTGGGGGTATTTAATTATCTTTTAGAGTTGTTAAAGATTCTTGAATGTAGAAAGCACTTAAAGCAATAAATGCTCAACAAATGACAACAGCCAGAAGGAAGAGCAGTAACAGCTAAAGAGAAAGGAGAAAAAGAGCCTTGGCTCGAGTCCAAGTAGGAAAAATAAAATCCACTAATATAAAATTGGCAAGAATATCAGGCAAATACAGAGGGTGCCAAAAAAATGTATAAACAGTTTAAGAAAGGAAAAAACTGTATTAAAATTGCAATGCTCACTACATACCAATATGTGTGATTCTATATATTTTATCTTTTATAATTACAGAAGCCAAACATGACTTGAGTATTAAAATTTTAATATAGTTTTTCCTTTCTTAAATGTGTATACAATTTTTAGGCATCCTCTGTATCCAGTGAGTCCCAAAGGTCGCCATATTCACATACATAGGGAAAATGAGACACTACAGCTAAATGTACCTTTATTTACAAAATATTTATTATAAAATATTTCTCTACATGATGATATGTAAATATTAAAAATATTAAGTATGATATAAAATATCAGTTTAAGTTTTCCTCTTTGGAAAACTTTGGTGTACCCTGTTTTATGTGACCAGGACTGAAGTAAAAAGAACAGCAAATTTATAAAATAACTTTTTAAGTAAATATGAGGAGCTGAGAATTAAAGTAAAATAAGCCCAAGAGAAAATGGTATCTACTTTTTTTTAAGTCTTCATGTTTCATTTTCTTAATAGTGTTTAATAATTTCAGTTTCTAGATTTAGTGATTTTAATTTTAAAAATATGGCTCGGCGCCTGTGGCACAAGTGGCTAAGGCGCCAGCCACATACACCTAAGGTGGTGGGTTCGAATCCAGCCCGGGCCTGCCAAAAAACGACGACGGCTGCAACCAAAAAAATAGCCGGGCGTTGTGGCGGGCGCTGTGGTCCCAGCTACTTGGGAGGTGGAGACAGGAGACACGCTTGAGCCCAGGAGTTGAAGGTTGCTGTGAGCTGTGATGCCATAGCACTCTACCCAGGGGGACAGCTTGAGGCTCTGTCTCAAAGAAAAAAATAAATAAATAAAAATAAAAATATATATTGAGGTGTGGGGGAAGGTAAGAAACCAATCAGCATTTCCTGACTATCCCAAATTAAAGTGTAAAATTTGTCATTTGGGCTCCTAATTAAAGAAACATTGTTATTTTGGTGGCAGTTTACCCTATTCATAGACAGTGTATCCATAGAAACAAAGCACTGAGTACCTAAATTGTAAATTTAACTCTTGAAAGTAATAATTATGTAATATATCTTTTAACTTTCTGAAAATGCACATTCATGTTATCAGCAGCTATCTATCAAAGGTGATACTAATCCTCCACTCCCTAACCCTACTACCAAAGGACATTTACCAACCTCTGAACAAATTTTTGGTTGTCACAACCAGTGTGTGGGGTGGGGAAAGTTGGTGCTGGCACGTCCTGGGTAGCAGCTAAGAATAGGGCCAAACATCCTAAGCGAGCATACCAATAAATGAAATAATGCACAAGACAGCCCTCAACAACAAAGAATTATCTGGTCCAAAATGTCAATAGTACTGAGCCTGAGAAACCCTAATATACAGGTGATAAAAACAGTAGACATTAAAAGTTTAAGAAGTGTTATTACATAAATCTTTAACATTTTCCATATCCCTTTTATTCCAGTTACTAGAATGCCTCTTTAGAATGTTCTTCATTATATACTAAATCAATCATAAAATACATATTAGAAAATTAGAAATGGTCTAGCCGAGCTTTCTTCCATATGAAATCTTTCACATTAAGGACCCCAATATATAAGACAGATAAAAACACAGAGCTACACTCACTAACGCAGAGGTAGAAAACCCAGAATTACAATCTACCAAAAATTCTACTTGACCCTATGACTTTACCCAAGGTACTGCCACAACTAAAAATAACCAATCAAAGACACCTATCACATTTATGACCAGGGAAACTGTGACCTAGAGATGTTCAATAATTTAGCCACAGCTTCATAGATAGACTCATAAGCAGTCAAGGCAAGGACCTACAACTGACTTCTAGTGTATTTTTCTTTGTACTGAAAACCTAAAGCCAATGCAGTATTATATGGAGACCCTACTGAACTCAGTTTCCTCTCACTTTCCCTTCATTTCCCCCACTCCCTGCTAGCCACAATAAAAGAGTCAAAAAGATGAGTAGATACTTAAATAAGAGAATCTCATGTTTAGAAAAAAACTTAAAATTTCAATATTAAAAGAAAGCATTTAAAGTTAAAAGTTTAATAATGCCGTCCCTCAAATCAAAGTTGTTTGTTTTAATTTTCTATATCATCTGTATTTAAAATTTTAAATTCTTTTTTTTTTTTTTGAGACAGAGCCTCAAGCTGTTCCCCTGGGTAGAGTG